CAGACCTCTCCTTCTTTCTTTTTATCTGGGTCTTCAAGTTTATTGTAGCAGTATAATTACACCTAACCAAAAATATTCAGAGGCTGTACACAGTCAGACCTTTTTGATTAATATAAACAGATATCTGGCATCAGCAGACCAGAAGCTCTCAGCTCTCTCTCTTTCTCTGGGATGTTTTTTTTTTAATTATTTATTTATTTATTTCTGGACCTCTTCACTCTGAGAGAAAGAAAGAAAAAAGTTGTCAGAGATGACAGTCATATGCCTGAGTCGTTTTCTCCCGCAGGTGTGGGAGTGTAAAAACGGTGTGTGTGTTTTCTGCAGACAGTCGGTGCGTACTCCTTTCTGATAACAATCCAATGACCTTTTAAGGGAAAGAGACGCAGCTTTTTGGACTTCGGCTCTGTTTCCGCAGATCTTTGCCAACAGAGAGACCAAAACCTACACAACCTCTCCAGCTTCACAGACACAGAATTCTGGCGTTTGTTAAAGTCTTCTTGGTATGTAAGTGTGAAGAAATGCTGAACAATAAACACCTGAATCCTGTTACATCAGAGCAGATTTAACTTGTTGTTGCAATAAGCAATAATAACAGATTGGCCAAGCCTTCAGCCTGAAGTGTGTGCAAACTTAAAAAGGCTTCACAGTGTGGTGTGTGCTGCAGAGCATCCATGTCCTGGAAACAAATTACAACCAGGAAGGGAGAGAGAGCTCGGCCTACTTTTTTTTTCTGTGTGTACTTTAGGTGTTCAGCCTTGAAAACTATTTCCCTTTCCTCTTTACGTTCCACAGTTGCATCCTTTGGAAGACTTCAGCACTCATTAATAATAAGGATGATGATAATAGTAGTCCCTGCTTGTCTCATGTGTAGCCATGACATCCTGTTTAAGCTCAGGAGTATGTCTGCTCAAAGTAACAACAGCTAGTTTCTCCACAGTAAGAAAAGTGCAGTTGAAACTGGTTATCTCATATTTAGCTGGGGTCAAACCTGAGCGCTGTAATGTCTTTTTATGTTTTTATTCATTCTAATTTATTTAATAGTGTATTCTTTTCATTAATCATAGAGACTCGAGTGGTAACATTAACTTGTTATGAAACTTCAGCTTTTATATTTCAGTCAGTTCCCAAAAAGAGAGTGAAACTAGTTACAGTAAAAATGGAAAAACGAACGCTCCGTGCAGTGAGTCCAGGTTTACTTTTCCCTGCTTGTATAGACAGGCCCTCATTGTCCTCTTTCGTGCCCGTTTGGAAATTCCAGGATTGTAATTCGTTCCAGGTGACAGGAGAGCCGGAGAAGTGACATTTTTCATGGTTCTCCTTCACACAGCTGTTCTTAGAAAGCTGTTAATTGTTTATCCGTCGTGGGAAGTAAAAGCACCTGGAGCTTCTGCTGGATGCAGGACAGGCTCCGCCCACCTACAGTCTGATCCAGGTCTACATGAATCAGAGAGCGACAGCTGAGTCATTCTCACCACGGAGCAGTTTTCCAATTTCTCTTCCAGAGAATTCTTTTTACTAAGAGGAAAAAATGTCCTGTTGAAGATCTTCCTGCCTCCCTCTGTCTGTGGGCTGTAGCATTATTTTGAATGCATTCCTACTTAATGTCTTTATAATCATATATTTGAGTAAAAGAAGATGTTTTGTTCATTGCATTTTATTGCACACTGTATGATATAGACTGAATATTTATGCCTCACTGCATCACTCTGGGAACAGCTAAGAGCTTGCAAACAAGAAACGTTCAGCACAAAATTTGACCCTCAAATGAGCTCGAGAGCTGGACTCATTAGTTAAGGACGGCAGTGCATCGAGCCCAGTGAAAAGTGAAAAGAAACACACAGCCCTGATGCATGCAGACTCCGCTGCTGCATAGCATGACCTCAGACTGGAAGCCCTGTGCTTGAAAGCATAACCTGCACAGTTTAACTTCAGGGTGTAAAATACGGCTGTTTTCTCAAAACCAGCAGTGCCTCAAAACCGCTCTGGCATCTATGCTATGAAGCAACAGACCAAAAAAACCAACCTTTCCCTTTTCAGTATGCAATATTTTAACTTAAACTACAATCTTTTCCTAAACCTGTTTAGGTAGCTTCTGGTACATAAGCAAAACTAAACCGCAATTGGGAACAAAGTGGAAAACATAGAGGTCCAAATGAGACCTTTATGGCTGTATCAAAGCAGATGGAGAAAGTAGCTGCATCCCTTGGACCATGGCACCAACTCCAAGACAAGGTATGTCATAAACATACATGTGGCAGAGGTGCATTTAGCATCAGGTTTTACCATCATTAATGCTGTGACAGGAAATATTTTAATAAAAGCAATGGTGCTGAAAGGAAATGTGGTCTTCTGATTGACAACCCTCCAACTGCATATTTCAGACTTTCTAGGTCTCTAAAAAAATCTACCAGTATTTTTTTTGGTGCACAGTCTGGTGCCAAAAGCTACCTTGTGTGTAATGGTAAGATGCAGGAAGCTGAAACCCCTGTGTTAATGTGACACCTCGGGATCAGAACCCACTAGAGATTTCCTTGACTCAGCAACCTACAAACTACTAGACACCTCTCTAGCTTTGGCATTAACCTTTGAGTGCAAAGATCAAATCGGAGACAAAACTTCCAAAATCCAAAAATAGCTCCAAAACCTGAGGTTAAAGTTAACGTCAGC